GGCTGCAAACGTAAGTCCCTGATTGGGACTAATTTTGGTCCCAATCGGGTACACTTTTTGGTCTAACTTTCTCCAAATTGAAATCCGATTGAACCATTGGGATCAGACAGTCAAACTCTACACATTGATATAATTTTCATTATTTATTGACAAATTTTAAAATTTATTTATTTTTGGGTCCTTCTCAGTAATTAATTAATTATTAATTAATTAATACTGATAGGCCTATTTTCGGGGCGTTACATTTCTCTCCCCGTTAAAATAATTTCGTCCTCGAAATTACCTGAGTCATTGGTTGAAGAGATTTGGATATTGCATTCTCATTGACTCTTCGGTTTCCCATGTTGCTTCCTCAGTCGAGTGATTTCTCCATAGCACTTTGACTAAGGGTACAGATTTGTTTCTCAATTGTTTGACCTCTCGTGCTAAAATTTGTACTGGTTCCTCCTCATAAGTCAATTGTTCGTCAAGAGTTACAATTCCCTCAGTCAAAATATGCGATGGGTCGGAACGATATCTTTTCAACATCGATACATGGAATACGTTATGGATCTTGTTCAATTCTGGTGGAAGTTCTAACCGATATGCTACTGGACCCACACGTTCAGTGATTCGATAGGGGCCAATATATCTCGGACTTAGTTTTCCCTTCCTACCGAACCGTAACACTTTCTTCCATGGTGAGACTTTCAAAAACACTTTGTCATCAACATTGTATTCGATCTCTCGACGTTTCAAGTCAGCATACGATTTTTGACGATCGGAAGCCACTTGCAATCTTTCTCTAATTAGACGAACCTTTTCTTCAGTTTCGCGGACGAGATCAGGTCCTTCAAGTCTTTGCTCGCTTAATTCTGTCCAGCATACTGGGGTTCTACAACGTCTCCCATACAAGGCTTCGTACGGGGCCATTTGGATACTCGCTTGATAACTGTTGTTATAGGCGAACTCCATTAGCGGTATGTATTGTTCCCAGTTACTTCCAAAATCAATTACACATGCTCTCATCATATCCTCAAGAATTTGAATTGTCCTTTCAGATTGTCCGTCTGTTTGTGGATGAAATGCTGTACTAAAGTTGAGTTTAGTACCCAGAGCCTTTTGCAAACTCTTCCAGAATTGTGACGTGAATCGTGGGTCACGATCAGAAATGATAGACAAAGGTACACCATGTAATCTTACGATTTCACGGATGTACAATTCTGCCAATTTCTTCAAGGACATATCACGTCGCATTGGGATAAAATGAGATGACTTGGTTAGTCGGTCAACGATTACCCAGACAGTATCATTCTTCTTGGTTGATAAGGGAAGTCCGATCACGAAGTCCATCGTAATCCGTTCCCACTTCCATTCAGGGATAGTAGGTGGATGTAACAATCCACTTGGAACTTGGTGTTCAGCCTTGACTTGTTGACATGTCAGACATCGCGTAGTGAATTCAGAAATTTCTCGCTTCATTGTGGGCCACCAGTATGTCTTTCTTAAATCTTGGAACATTTTATTACTGCCAGGATGCATGGTATATGTGGTTTCATGAGACTCACGCATTAATCGTTTCCTCACTTCGCCACTAGGTACTACCAAACGATTCCTGTAGAATAAAATTCCATCTTTTATAGTGAAATCTTGTCTCTCCCCCTTAGAGACAAGTTCGCAAGTCTTCAAACAGTAGTCATCACGTTTTTGTGCAACGTGAATTTCGTTCTCAAGGGTGGGCTGAATTCGGAGTTCGGCTATCATCTTTCGGCTCAATGCGTCTGCAACTACGTTAGCTTTGCCAGGGTGATAGTCGATGTAACAATCATAGTCTTTGATCAATTCTAACCATCTTCTTTGTCTCAGGTTTAACTCTTTTTGAGTTAGCAGGTATTTCAGACTTTTGTGATCTGTGTGAATATATGTCGTTTCTCCAAAGAGATAATGACGCCATATCTTCAGAGCAAATACAACTGCTGCTAACTCAAGATCGTGAGTTGGATAGTTACGCTCGTGAGGTTTCAACTGCCTTGATGCGTATGCCACGACCTTTCCGTCTTGCATAAGTACACATCCCAAGCCATTATGAGATGCGTCACTAAAGATTGTGTAGTCTACACCTGGTACCGGTTGTGTCAGTACAGGCGCTTTTGTCAAACACTTCTTTAGTTTCTCAAAGCTCTGCTGACATGCATCGGTCCATACGAATTTCACATTCTTTCTGAGAAGTTTGTTAAGTGGAGTTGCGATCGAGGAAAAACCTTCAACAAATCGTCGATAGTATCCAGCTAATCCTAGAAAGCTTCTCACTTCACGAACATTCCTTGGAACCTTCCACTCGGTGATGGCAGATATTTTACTGGGGTCCACTTTAA